ATAGTTGACCAATCATTAGCCTCACCACGTTCGCCTGAAACCGGTTTGAAATGCACCGCTTCGAGTCGACCCACTTTCAACTCGAAGCGGAACTTCACCGGGCGTAATGCTATTCCTGACGTTTCGCTGTGAAGGGGTCGAGGCGTGACGCGTCGCCGCCTCACGCCTCGTTGGAAACGAGCCTTTAAAGTTTCTTATTTGTAACCTCGTTGATTTGCTTATCTGAAAAAGTAAAATAAGAAAACGACAGCCCAACAAACAGCAATTCACACGTTCAGGTATATAAGGTAAATCCACGAATAAGTCAACAACATAAAGGCTCGTTCCCACTGAAGCGTGAGGCGTTGAAGCGTGAAGCGTTGACGTTCGCTTGAAGGTGGTTTGAAATGCACCGCTTCGAGTCGACCCACTTTCAACTGGAAGCGGATCTTCACCGGGCGCAATGCTATTCCTGACGTTTCGCTGTGAAGGGGCCGAAAAAAGTTTCTTGCCTGCCGCGTGACTCTTCAACGCTTCGCGCCTCGGTGGGAACGAGCCTTTAATAGCCTCTTGAGATACCTACACCCTGCTTGCTTTTTTTAACCGTTCCCCCCTCATTTTGAGATACAGTCGAACCTCGATAAGTCGAAAACCTCCAAAACTCGAAATTTTTTTTTGTTCCCTTCCCTTCAAGCCCCAAAACCTCCATGACTCGTAATTTCAACCCTCTATAAGTCGAAATAATGAGTCAATCCCCGCGAGCCATTTTGGAATATATTTTCCCTCCGTAACTCGAAAAAAAAATGCGACCTCTGTATCTCGAACATTAGCAATGTTTGATTTAACAACTCGATCATTTGAAACTAATTGCCCCTTATAGCTCGAAAAACATATTCCTAGAAAACAATGTATGTCCTTCAAGTTCGAATCCTGGCGGTGGCATGGATATTTGTTGGTGGTTCGGAATCCACATTAAACTGTAGGTCCCGGTATATTTAGCCTAAAGTGTGCACAAGATGACCGTAGAGAGACCGAAACCTAAACGAAAAAACGACCTAAAACGAAATGTATGACAAACACTTTTACAGCTTGGTCTTGGATGCCTTAAGGCAATCGCTGCACAGACGTTACTCTCTTAGCATTACCCAGGGGGCCCGTGTAACTTGAAGACACGGACGCGGAGTAACAATGGCCCCGCAACGCTCCTATTAGGACCGGGATCTACGGTTTAAAGTGGATTCCGAACCACTACACACATCCATGGCACCGCCGGGACACCAACCCGAAACCTGTGGTACCGAGCGCCAGAGCGCTAGCCCCTCGGCCATTCAGGCCCGTATATGAGTATATAGTGTTGTTGTTTCTTATCCCACTTGGTTGGCCAAGCCCACGAGCCCATTTGGACTCATGATTGAAGGGGAAGGAAGCAGCATCTGTTGTGATGGAGCACCCGTAGGTAGAAGCCTGACTTTTGCTCCGTGACGCTCTTACAGTCATAGAAGACCGGGACCTACGGCTTAAAGTGGATTCCGAACCACTACAAAACATCCATGGCACCGCCGGGATTCGAACCCAAAACCTGTGGCACCGAGCGCCAGACACTCGGCCATTCAGGTCCCAAATTTGCCAACGGCACGCAGTGTTCCCAGGTGGTCACCCACCCAAGTACTGACCGCGCCCAATGATGCTTGACTTCGGTGATCTAACGAGAACCGGTCTATTCAGCATGGTACGGCCGTTGGCTGATATAGTATATAGTAAATAGAATAACCAATTCTATGAAATATTCTTGTTATAATTCTTATCATTGCCATTGATTTCATTTGAACTCTAGCGAAGCAAAACTCGTTCGTTGTCGATTGCGAAACTATCAGAAGTGGTTTGGTTTCACTGCAATACGAATAATATCGTTAAAAAAAGAGTGCTGTGAAACGTAAACTGACAACTTTGATTCTCGCTAAAAAGTTTGAAGTGCTTGAAGCTTTAAAGTGCTGTCAAAAGAGGAAAAACGTTGCCGAACTATTTGGCTCACCAATGAGTACTCTGTCAACAATAATAAATAAATTAATAGTTTAAAAAAACTAAAAAAAACCCGCTTTTAGAGTTAATCTATCTAAAAAGTAAAACATAATTGTTAACATAAGAATAAAATGACTGACGAGAAAATTAATGTTCTAAAAGCGTGGGGTGCTCGATATCAGTCGTTATAATTTTTCACCAGTTTCATTCCGAAATGCAGAGTTAGTTTAAAAATGTCATACAAAGCACCCCACGCTTTTAGAACATTCATTTTCTCGTCAGTCATTTTATTCTTATATTAACAATTATTTTTAATACATTTTAGATAGATTAACTCTAAAAGCGTGTTTTTTTTAGTTTTTTTTAAACTATTAATTTATTTTTTACATTTTAGTTTGATTAACTCTAAAAGCGTGTTTTTTTAAACTATAATATTTAAATGAGGTCCCGGTACGGAGGAGTGCAACAATAGTTCTTACAATAATGTAATTGTGAGTAAAACAAAGGCTATTGCTTAAAGTAGGGCAAAATCGAGCCCAAAGAGTCAGTTACAAACAAACAAACATTCAGGTGAAACTAATATAAAAGCGTATTAAAAAGAATCAACTGTTTTCTTTCTGAAAGATGCCTGTAAATGTTTCTTTGCAGCTTAAATAGTGTATATGAGGAGACACAGATCTCCAGAGGAAAAAGTCAGTTACATACATACATACAAACATACACGTGAAGCTAATAAAAGCGTATTAAAAACGCATCGGACATCATGAAAAAAATTGAAAGCGGTCAAAGTGTGTCCTGCAAAATACAGCGAATTGCAGAATTTCCTAGCCAAAAGAGACGCCAAATAAATCGAGTTATACGGTTTTCGACTTATGGAGGATTTCGACTTACTCAGATTTTGTAAGGAAAAATTCGACTTGTAGAGGTTTAGATTCTTTGTAACTTATTTTGCGCAACAATTAGAGACCTTGCTGATGATGTTGGAATTACAAAATTCCATTTTAATAGATGTTTTGGTCCTCAAACGCGTCAAATTTCGATTGGTACCGAAAACACTAAATGCGCCAGCTCCCACTGCATTGATTCTTCGTGACTTTTCCGCTAAAAATGAAACTGATATCGTTCCACAACCACCGTATTCACCTGATTTAGCATCGTGCTGCTTCTGCTTATTCCCTGAACACAAAAGGCCACTCCGGGGGCACCGTTTTGAGTCGTTTGAAGAGACATTTCAAAAATCGCCGGAATCAGTTTTAGCGTCTCACAAAACCAAGCGCAACTCAAGCTCTAGTGAATACTTTGACGTCAAATTCCACACAGATGTCAAGGACAGTACCAACACCCTAAAAGAGGAGAAAAAAAATTGAAATACCATATGCCCGGGAAATTTAAATTGAAAACTGGCCTTACTTTTTAGACACAGTGGTAATATTTTTAAGTAATTGAATTTATGTGATAATGTACTTTATGATTATCGTTTTAAAGCTGTTAATAGTTTAGTTTATTTATTTACTTCTAATTTACGGTTTGTCTCTATTGTCGGTTCCAATTAGCTGCATCCAATACAAATAGAGTTCATTTTTTGCCACATTTCCACTACACAATTAGTGTTGTTGTTGTTGTTGTTTCTTATCCCACTTGGCTGGCCAAGCCCACAAGCCCATATAGATTCATGATTGAAGGGGAAGGAAGCAGCTTCTGTTGTGATGGAGCACCCGTAGGTAGAAGCCTGACTTTTGCTCCGTGACGCTCTTACAGTCATAGGAGACCGGGACCTACGGCTTAAAGTGGATTCCGAACCACTACAAAACATCCATGGCATCGCCGGGATTCGAACCCGAAACCTGTGGCACCGAGCGCCAGGGCGCTAGACACTCGGCCATTCAGGTCCCAAATTTGCCAACGGCACGCAGTGTTCCCAGGTGGTCACCCACCCAAGTACTGAGCGCGCCCAATGATGCTTCACTTCGGTGATCTAACGAGAACCGGTCTATTCTGCATGGTACGGCCGTTGGCTACACAATTAGTAAATAGTAGATAGGATAAAAGTATAGTACAGCAGATAGGATAGGTAAATAGTAATTAGTAAATAGCATTAGTACAGTAGAACCTCTGTAAGTCGAACTTTAAGGTAGACGCCAAATAATTCCAGTTATAGAGTTTTCGACTTATGGAGGATTTCGACTTAGGCGGATTTTTGTAACGAAATAGTCGACTTGTAGAGGTATAGATTCTTTTTCAGTTAGAGAGGTAAAATAAATCAAAATTCATGTTACAGAGGTAATAAACATGTTAATTTGCAACTCAAAAGTTATATTACGTACTAAAATAAAAAATCAAAATAATTCCTTAAAATTATTAACAACCTAAAAATTAAAAATTTTAAAAGTCAGTTATTATTATTCACTTATTTATTTGCTTCAGAAAATTCCATCGTTCTCTATCTATCGCTAGAATTCAAATGAAATCAATAGCAATAATAAGAATTATAAGTATAAGAATTATAATAAGAATATTTCATAGAATTGGTTATTCTATTTACTGTACACTCATACATTGTTTTCTAAAAAACAATGACGTGCATTGTCGGCAAATCCTTAAAGACGGTCACTTATTTTTCTTCGAACTGTAGAGGTAATTAGTTTGAAATGATCGAGTTCTAAAATTTGTAAAATCGAATATTGCTAATTTTTTTCGAGTTACAGAGGGAAAATTGTTGTTGTTGTTGTTTCTTATCCCACTTGGCTGGCCAAGCCCACGAGCCCATACGTACTCATGATTGAAGGGGAAGGCAGCAGCTTCTGTTGGGATGGAGCACCCCGTAGGTAGAAGTCTGACTTTGGCTCCGTGACGCTCTTACAGTCATAGGAGACCGGGACCTACGGCTTAAAGTGGATTCCGAACCACTACAGACATCCATGGCACCGCCGGGATTCGAACCCGAAACCTGTTTCACCAGAGCGCTAGACACCTGGCCATTCAGGTCCCAAATTTGTGAATGCCAACGACACGCGGTGTTCCCAGGTGGTCTGGTACTGAGCGCGCCCAATGATACTTGACTTCGGTGTTCTAACGAGAACCGGTATATTCAGCAGGGCATGGCCGTTGGCAGAGGGAAAATATATATCAATATGGCTTGTGGGGAGGGAGTCATTATTTCGACCTATAGAGGGTTGAAATTTCGTGCCATGGAGGTTTTGGGGCTTGAAGGGAAGGGAACTAATTTTTTTTTCGAGTTGTTCACAGAAGCGACCAAACCTTTAAATCAGGGGTCTCCAAACTACGGCTCGCGGGCCAAATCCGGCCCCAGTGTCATCCATCCGGCCCGCAACGGCGAATAGCTTATTGTTTAATTTTAATTATTATTTTTTTTAACACCTAATGACAAACTTGGTTTTATTTATTTGCCAGGTAAAGCTTAATAACAAGCATAATACGCAGAAAATGTAACTTAAGCATAACAACTAACACATACTTGAAAGGAATCCCACTAACATTATAAACTAGTGAACATCCCTCTGTAGTTATGTTGGGGTAAAGAGTATCGCATGTGAATGTATATCGACGTTTGGAATGTATATATCCTGAATCGAACATAAACCTGCTCGCTCAGAGTATGTACTCGGCGACTAGTCTAAAAATTATAGATAATGGCAGAAACATTAAAATGGTTTTGGCCCTTGGTACTTACTGGAATAAGTAATATGGCCCGAAGGCTGAAAAGTTTGGAGACATCTGCTCTAAATAGTAAAATTATAAATAGTGACCTCTAAATAGTAAAATAATAAATAGTGACCTCTAAATGGTAAAATAATAAATAGTGACCTCTAATAAGTAAAATAATAAATAGTGACCTCTAAATAGTAAAATAATAAATAGTGACCTCTAAATGGTAAAATAATAAATAGTGACCTCTAATAAGTAAAATAATAAATAGTGACCTCTAAATAGTAAAATAATAAATAGTGACCTCTAAATGGTAAAATAATAAATAGTGACCTCTAATAAGTAAAATAATAAATAGTGACCTCTAAATAGTAAAATAATAAATAGTGACCTCTAAATAGTAAAATAATAAATAGTGACAATGGCCGATCAAAGCCCTTTGCCAATTAAAAGTCGTTACAATTAAGTAAAAAGCAAAGGAAAACATTTACCGATTACAAAGTAGAAATTAATTAAAAAGATAGTTAATGAAAAATAAAAAATAGACAGCAATTAAACATTCATCATCATCATGATTGGCCCAACAGCCCCATGGTGGGCCAAGGCCGTCTGCCTACTAGCAGATTTCGAAACATGAGATGCCTTCTTTTTACGATGTAGGGTTGTTAGACCTACGCTCTACAGTCATATGAGACCGGGACCTACAGTTTAAAGTGGATTCCGAACCACTCCCAAACATCCATGGCACCGCCGGGACTCGAACCCGAATCCTATGGTACGGAGCGCCTAGCCACTCGCCCATTCAGGCACCATATATATATATTTTTTTTCTTCTAATGCAACTGGTAAATAGACCATGATCTTCGCCATAAGGGCTGCACCGATGTTACTCACTTTGCATTACCCAGGGGCAACTTGATGGCAAGCCACGGACGCGGAGTAACAACGCCCCCGCAACGCTCTGCGATCCTATTAGGAGCGGGACCTACGGTTTAAAGTGGATTCCGAACCACTACACCTGTGGTACCGAATGCCAGAGCGCCAGCCGTACGGCCATCAAGCACCCTAGGCATCATATATATATATATATATATATATATGTATATATAAATAAAATCCAAAATAAGGAAGAAAGATTTTCAAAACGTACATATTACAAAACGTAAAAAATACAAAACGTGAAAACGTACATAAACGTACAAGTACAAACATTTATAGTACAAAAATTAATTTAAATGCCAGTGTGTATCAGTTGTGTAAAGAAATAGCGTCAAATGAAATTTAACCATATATACACTCAAGAGCCTGTCAATAACGAGTTGGCCCACCTTTGGCGCGCAACACAGCTTCAACCCGCCTTGGCATGGATTCATACCAGTTAAATACCACTTCCACCTGAGCACGTGCCTTCCACATCATCCAGGCGAGTTCATTGCAAAATGTAGGGGTGGTCATAATGTTTTGGCTCTTGAGTGTATATGTCGCCGCCATCGCTGTTGGCGTCGACTGTGGCTAAGACAGAGTTCGGCCTGTCCCAATGATGGAAATCTAATCCCCTAAAATACAATAGAGAAAAATAAATAATTAGGGAAAAATAAAAAAAAAGACAGCAGTTAAACAGTAAGAAGGAAAAACGAAGCTCCAACTGTAGCAGAGCACCCACGCAGTAGCATATCAAGAGAAAACCACATTTTGAAACTTGAGAATAATAAATTAATAGTTAAAAAAAACTAAAAAACACGCTTTTAGAATGAATCAAACTGAAAAGTAAAAAATAATTGTTAACATAAGAATAAAATGACTGACGAGAAAATGAATGTCACTGTTCTAAAAGCGTGGGGGGCTCGATATCCATCGTTATAATTTTTCACTAGTTTCATTCCGAAATGCAGAGTTAGTTTAAAAATGTCGTACAAAGCACCCCACGCTTTTAGAACAGTCATTTTATTCTTACGTTAACAATTATTTTTTACTTTTCAGTTCAATTAACTCCAAAAGCGTGTTTTTTAGTTTTTTTAAGCTATTCATTTATTTTTTACTTTTTAGTTTGATTCACTCTAAAAGCGTGTTTTTTTTAGTTTTTTTAAATTATAATTTAGAAAAAACATCTCCTGCTTGAGAACAATTAAAGCTAAAGCTATCGGTACAATTAGAAGTCCGTTGACGATGCCCAAAAATAAAAAGGTTAAAGTTGAAATGAGAATTTTAAGACATAAGTAAAATAAAACAAAAGGAATTAAGATTAAACAAAATAATTATACAAAATAGCTAGTGTTTGATCAGTTGACTGACTCGCCAGTAGATGGCGCTATCAGTCCCCAAATCGACCCCAAAGAGTCAGTTATATACATACAAACATATAGGTGAAGCTAATAAAAGCGTATTAAAAACATAAACAAAGCGAGTAACGAAGACCACAGATAGAGGGAAAGGGTCGTTTATTCCAAAAAACGGCGCGAAGACGAAAATAACCACGTTACGGAGCAAGCGGGGGTGGGGAAGGGGGGGGGAGAGAAACCTGTTCCAAGAATGATGGAGGTAGAGAAAACGTAGCCAAAACGGCAGGATTATTAGTATTACAGGATTATTAGTATTATTTTGTTTTATATGCATAGGGGCCTGGATGGTTGAATGGCTAGAGCTCTGGCGCTCGGTACCACAGGTTTCGGGTTCGAGTGGGCTCGTGGGTTTCATGTTCTTGAAGCTGATTATCGGAAGACCACATCCGTTAAATTGCTTGTCATGTCCAGTTTGACTCATTATTCTTTGTTTCAATTATGCATGAATTGGGCTTGAATGGCCGAGTGGCTAGCGCTCGGTACCACAGGTTTCGGGTTCGAGTCCCGGCGGTGCCATGGATGTTTGTAGTGGTTCGGAATCCACTTTAAAAAAGTAAGTCCTGGTCTAATAGGATCGTAGAGTGTTACGGGGGCGTTGTTACTCCGCGTCCGTGGCTTATCTTCAAGTGACACGCGCCTCCTGGGTAATACAAAGTGAGTAACGTCTGTGCAGCGCTTGCCTTAAGGCATCCAAGACCAAGCTGTCTGTGTTTGCCAGCTGAAAGAAAATGAAATTAGAAAGAAGAAAAAATGTTTTATATCCATTTATTTATTGGGTAGTGCAAAGTCAGTAACGTCTGTGCAGCGCTTGACTTAAGGCCGGGATTTGCAAACTTTTTCGGTCGCGGGGCAAAAATCGAAAAAAAAAAAAAGAAGTTTGGTGGGGCGAGATAAATTTCTCTAAAATTATGAAAACTATCTAGAGGTCTTTTCAATTTTAAATATGCTAATGAGATGAATGAAATTGCGATTTCGTTTTGCCTCAATGCTCGTCTGCCAGTCTACTTCTGAAATAATTCTTTCTAAGCTTCACAGTGTAAGCACTTGTTCGCATACATAAGATGAAGCAAACACAGAACTGATTTTCTGGGCGTGAGATACTAAATGTGGGAAACTTACTTTCCACAATGATTTGTAAAACTCTCACTTTGGCACATTTAGAAACAACTGCTGGAGATGATTGTTAGATTGCAGCTCGATTCATTCCACCTGCAAATCTGACCTCACTGCTTCACAATTTACGTTGAAAGGCGTGGTAAAAATATCCGATTCTGTTTGAATGGCAATGAAATCTTGAAATCTACGTTCGAACTCAAAATGCTGTTTTTTCAAGCCATCTTCCTAATTCTTAAACTTCTCGTCATTTACAGACGGTATTGAATTAAACCTCATTAAATGACACGATCCATAATATTAAAACTCGCGCCAAAGCATATTATTATTTTTTTATACATTTATTTATTAATATTTAAAACGTACTTCGATCTTTTAAGTTTCCGCAAACACAATGTAACGCAAGTTCTTTGCTCAATTCAATCAGACATTTCATTAATCGCCGGAATGCGTTTCAGCGTCTCACAAAGCCAAGCGAACTCAGAACACTAATGAATATTTTGAAAACAACCTAAAACAGAAAAAAAATTGAAATTCCATAAGCCCCGGGAATTTTAAATTGAAAAATTGTCTTACTTTTAGGACACAGTAGTACATTGACAATGGAAGGTATAGTTTTTGTTGTTGTTTCTTATCCCAGTTGGCTGGCCAAGCCCACGAGCCCATACTCATGATTGAAGGGGAAGGAAGCAGCTGCTGTTTTGATGGAGCACCCGTAGGTAGAAGTCTGACTTTGGTTCCGTGGCGCTCTTACAGTC